CCACGAAGGCGTGCCTGGAATTCTGACCTGCAGACACAGAGATAAAATAAATGGGTGTTTTACCATGGAGTTTGCGGCAATCTGTTATGCAGCATGGAAAATGAATCCAACATCTCAAGAGAGTCAGTTTGCATGGGAATTGCTTATAGTATTAGCCAAACAAAAAACAAGTGGAATGGAGACTTCAGACTCTCTTTCCCTCGAGAGTTTCTAGGTATGTATCACCTAGATTCTTTTTTGTAGCTTTAATGTTTTTAAAACCATTTTATTGAGGCATGACTGGCATCACTCTTCACTGTTCACATCATACTTAGTCGAGCTCTCTCACATTAAATGTTGCAGATACTTAAACTCAAGCTGCTGCCACTATGTCCATGACACTTGTCTGGAAGACCACCACATGGCGTCCCTGTGAGGATTCAGTGCCTACTTGCCGCGCCCCCCCCGAAACCGGCCTCTAGTAGGCCAGGACATGTTTAACCTGGCCAACCTGTGACTTCCACAATTTCCTAGTCAGCCAAGCAGAGAATCAAACTCCATTTTTAGATTATTACCGTGATTCAGCATTCAAGTCAATGCCTTCGAGCCTGACACTAGAAGACCATTTCTTCTCCCTCACCTGCCATTTGGACATGAAAACCACCCAACGAGCATGGATCCAGCAAGTTTCTAACAGACCTGAGAGGAGGAGCCTGGGTTTTACTTCCATTTTAACACTGAAATCAAAACACAGCCTACCACCAGGCTACCCAGAGGAGACTCAGTTCCATAATAGCATGTTCTCTCTGCTGTGTGCAAAATTATACCCTGACGATGTATTTCCATGCCACTGTGCCCAAAACGTGGTTAGGGAGCAATGGCTCTAGAATGGGTGAATGGCTTAGGAATGTGAACATTTGCGGAAAAAAAAAGAAAGACAGGGAGCGGACAAAGTTTGACTCTTTTCCTGAGGCATTTTTCTGTTCATCAGAAACTGAAATTAATATATTTTTTAAAAGATTTTATTTATTTATTTGACAGAGAGCAAGAGAGCAAGAGAGCACGAGCAGGGCAAGCGGCAGAGGGAGAGAGAAGCAGACTCCCTGCTGAGCAGGGAGCCCGACACACGGGGCTCGATCCCAGGACCCCGAGATCAGGACCTGAGCCGAAGGCAGCCGCTTAACAAACTGAGCCACCCAGGTGCCCCCTTGTATTATGTTTTTTGTGTGGTGAATACAGTGTTTTTTGCTATGCAGCAAAAAGGCCAAGCATTTTCTCTTCTGAAATTATTTCTGGCAACAAAACATTGGTAATGTTCCTTCAAACTGCTGTGATTCCTATACACTAATTAAAACTACTGTCACACTGAGATGTACTGGACCCAGCAGAAATGGCAAATTTTCATTGCTTACAAAAATCACAAGTAACAGTCACCTTTTCTTTTCCTTCCCTCTTTTCTTCCTTCCTTCCTTTTCCATTTCTAACTTGTGAAATATTAAAAGGAAGGAACAGAGCAAATATGGAGTGCTAGTTCTGAAATTACAAATCCTGAGTGAGGGTGTGGACTCCAGCAAACAATGAATAATCTCCAGCAATAATGAATGAATAATCTCTTGACTCAGTTTGATCACCTCTGTAATGGGAAAAATAATATTTGCACTGTCAAACTTATGAGATATACATGTATAATGTCATGAGAAGTTTTTAAAAGATTTATTTATTTGAGAGAGAAAGAGAAGCAGACTCCATGCTGAATGGGGAGCCCGACGCGGGGATCGATCCCACACCCTGAGATCATGACCTGAGCTGAAACCGAGAGTCGAATGCTTAGCCAACTGAGCCACCCCTGTCATGAGAGTCTTAAGAGATTATATAGGTGTGTGAAGATACTTTAGTTCATATACACCCAATGTTACAAGAATGCAAAGTGCTTCTTCATGTTTAATAATTGACGCTCTCTCATCAACTGGCAAAGACAGTCACTAAATTTAAAAAATGAGTGGTTACCTTATTCCTAACAAAATTTAAAATATTTGGAAGTAAATTTCATAGTTACTGTCAGAAAAAAGTATCAGAACCAATTAACATTTATTCAGTGCCTCAATAATTTATGACACCAAGAGCACCGCACATTTTCTCACTTGATTCTCACATGAATTAAGGCCTATTACCATCTCCATTTTGTAAATGAGGAACATGGAGCTTCGGGAAATGGAGAAGTGGTAAACTTGGGATACAAAAGCAAGGAGTCTAATCCAGAGCCCACAAGCAACCACTCAACGGTTTCAACTACATTTTCTGGGTTGACAGGCCAAGAACAGCGGCAGTGAGCTGTGGTCTGGGCAGTTCTCTGTTGCTATAAAGCAAAGTCTGCCTCTGAGGAGTTGGGAGGTCTGGTGTGGAGGGCATGTCCACTCACACCGTGGGAGAGTACCACCGACGGACATGTAAAGAGAAGCCACATCACTGGCATACCATTTAGGCAGGCTACAGTGGAAAGTATACCCCCCCGAGTTGGGAACTGCAAAAGTCCTGTCAGATTTAGAGCCCCGTGACTGACCTCAGCCATCTACCAAACTGTATCAGGATCTCCACGGCTGCATCTGGGGCTGTGGAGGTCCAGCAACAACCACAAACAGACCAGTGATGCTGGATAGGAGACCAGACAGAGAATAGCCCTACACAAAGGGGAAGGAAATGAGGTGGCTAGAACCAAGAAATAAATAAAAACAGGAACCAGAGAACAAGAGGTGGCAAATAGCTGGAAGAAAACAAAACTGAAGTAAATCCAGAAATACAGTAGGGCCCTGGTTCCCAAACTGCACCCCAAGGCACCTTAGGGTTCCACAGTTAATTTAAAAAAAGAGCACTGCCAGATATTTTAAGTTTGAGGGAATCAGTGATACTCAACATCTGTCAGAGACCATGTGAAAACTCCCAGCTTGAAGTAGTTCACAGTTTCAACATTAGATGGCATTAAATTCCTTTCTGTGACATGTTTTTGCAATATTGTCTGCTATAATAAAAATCAAATATTGCCTAAAACTCACTGTGGAACAGGAAATGAGGATGGTGGTATTTGATTTGAGTCCAAGTTTTGAGAAGTGGCACAGTGATCAAAAGGTGCCCACAGCCCTTAGTAGTTGCCGTTAAGAATTAGATAAAAATGATCTTTTCTTTCATTTTTGTTGTTGCTGTTGTACAAAATGTCTGCTAGTTTATCAGGAACTGTGTACTTGGTTTGTTGTTGTTGTTGTTGTTTTAAGATTTATTTATTTGAGAGAGAAAGGGGGGAGGAGGAGGTGGGGCAGAGGGAGGGAGGGAGAGAGAGAACCTTGTCAAGCAGACTCCCCGCTGAGCACAGGGCCTAACAGAGGGCTCAATCCCAGGACCCCGAGACCACAACCCAAGGCAAAATCAAGAGTCAACCACTTAACCAACTGAGCCACCCATGCAACCCAGGAACTGTATATGCTTATTAAGTTGACTTAACTGCTTATTAAACTCTTATGTATTTATTCAGAACTGTGAAAAAAAATGGAAATAAGGACACTGAGAAATTATGGGAACCTCTGCATTTGGGACTAAAGTCATCTAGGGAAGACAGAAAAGTGGGGGATCTCAGAACTGAGCAGTTTCCAGAGACTTTCAGGATCCCTGAGATGAAAGCCCCACCCAATCCAAAGAAAACCTGTCCCACTGAGTCCTGAAAGCACAATGGGTCCCGATCCTTCTGCTCTGCCTCTTTTTCTCACAATATAATGAATAAAGATCCACCACAACGAGGACTAATCCAGGGACTTTAGGTTTCAACACAGCAGTATCATTCTATACAAACACCAAGTTATGTATTTTGTCATAGTATCTACCAAGTACTTACATTCCTGGCATCTTATATAATCATCTTACTAATCTTTTGAGGCTTTTCTGTTTCTGCCCTACCTCTCCTTATACAGACGAAGAAATGAAAGCATGGGGCAACTGAATCCATGGGCCAAGATGACACTGCTATGTATTAAGGTCAGGACTAAAATCCAGGCAGTTGGCACTTCGGAGGTAACACCGTTATCCCTGTGCTATACTGTTCAGTTGTTAGGCCTGTAGGTTTCCAGAGAAATAAATATACATTAGACTTTTACATGGAACAACATACTTCGAAGTAGTACAGATATTTAAACGGGACTAAATGCATTCCCATTTTTGTTTATTCTTAGTTTCTCAATCCTGGAAAAGCTTCTATTTCTTTTCTAGGCCTGCTAATGTCTGTGCTCATGAATAAAAATAATGTAAATGGTTACAACATGGCACCATTAAGAGAAAAAAAAAAGCCACCCATCCAAATACTGGCATGAATGTAACAAAATATTCTCATTCCTTTGTGTTAAAAGTGTAAATTGGTATACACTTTATGGAGAACACTAGTAATCAAGATTCATAAAGTCCCAGTGAGGACAGTAAAGATTCACATTAGATAATATTTATCTCAGGACGCCTGGGTGGTTCAGTCGGTTAAGCGTCTGCCTTCAGCTCAGGTCATGATCTCAGGGTCCTGGGATCAAGTCCCACCCAGCATTGGGCTCCCTGCTCAGCGGGGAACCTGCTTCTCCCTCTCCCTCTGCCTGCAGCTCCCCCTGCTTATACTCTCTATCAAATAAATAAAATCTTTTAAAAATAGATAATATTTATCTCAATGTTATTGATCACAGCAGAGAGAGAGAGAGACATAAAACCTAAATGCCCACTGATCACTTGGAATGTCTCAAGTCTGTGTAGAAAACTCATGTTTCATACAGATGACCCACAGACACACAAAAAGATGTTCAACATCACTAATCATCAGGGAAATGCAAATCAAAACCACAAAGAGATATTATCACCTTATATCTGTCAGAATGGCTAAAACGAAAAACACAGGAAATAACAAGTGTTGGCAAAGATCTGGAGGAAAAGGGACCCTTGTGCTCTGTTGATGGAAAGGCAAACTAGCACAGTCACTGTGGGAGACAGTATGGAGGTTCCTCGAAAAATTTATTTATTTATTTGAGAGAGAGAGAATGAGAGAGAGCAAGCACATGAGAGGGGGGAGGGTCAGAGGGAGAAGCAGACTCCCTGCCGAGCAGGGAGCCCGATGCGGGACTCGATCCAGGGACTCCAGGATCATGACCTGAGCTGAAGGCAGTCGCTTAACCAACTGAGCCACCCAGGCGCCCGGTTCCTCGAAAAATTTAAAAACACAACTCCCATAGGATCCAGTAATTCCACTACTGGGTATTCACCCAAAGAAAATGAAAACATGAATTTTGAAAAAAATAGATACACGCCTACGTTTACTGCAGCATCATTTACAATAGCCCAATTATGGCAGCAACTCAAATGTCCATCAATGGATGATGAATGGATAAAGACGATGTGGTGTATGTACATAGTATGTAAGTACACACACACACACACACACACACAGGATTATTACTCAGCCATAAAAAAGAATGAATCTTGTCATTTGCAACAACATGGATGGACCTAGAGGGTGTGATGCTAACTTAAATAAGTCAGAAAGACAAATACCATATGATTTTACTCATACATGGAATTTAAGAAACAAAACAATGAGCAAAGAAAAAAGGAGACCAAACAAACAAACAAACAAACAAACCAGACTCTTAAAATACAGAGAACTGGTAGTTGCCAGAAGGGAACTGGGTGTGGGGATGGGTGAAATAGGTGAGCAGGATTAAGAGTACACTTGTCTTGATGAATGCTGAGTAATGAATAGTTGAATCACTATACAGTATACCTGAAAATAATAGAATACTGTATGTTAATTATACTTCAATAATAAAAAGAAAACTCATGTTTTCAAAGATTACTTAATGGCATTAACAAGCACAGGGTATTTTTTTAAATTGTGCAACAAAACTGTACTATATAATCTCAACTGAAAAGTATTCATTAAAATAAAGGACTGGAAAGAAACTGTATTCATTTTAATATTTTGCTTTTTCTCTAAAATGTTTAGAATTCTAAATTTTAATTTTTTAATTTTCTTTTTTTTTTTTAAGATTTTATTTATTTATTTGACAGAGAGTGACACAGTGAGAGAGGGAACACAAGCAGGGGGAGTGGGAGAGGAAGAAGCAGGCGTCCCACGTAGAAGGGAGCCCGATGTGGGGCTTGATCCCAGGACCCTGGGATCATGACCTGAGCCGAAGGCAGACACTTAACAACTGAGCCACCCAGGCGTCCTAATTTTTTAATTTTCTTCATCTTCCCTTCTTTCCCTCTTGACGAATGTGTGTTACCTTGGTAATCAAAAAAAAAGTCCTAAATATTCAAAAGGGGTTCAGTATCTAAAAGAGGTAAATGCAGTCCAACAATACCTCTTTCCTCCATCATCACCTACACTGTAATACTCAAAACCTCATTTACAAAGAGCTTTCCTGATTATACTGACAGGGTTCTCTCCCTTCTCTCCATTTTTAGATAGCTTTATACTTCCTTTTTTGGTATTTTTGTCACCTCCTGCCTTTTACAATAATCATCTATATACACATGGAATCTTTCTTACCAGACTGTGGGCTTTAGGATGGCAGGGCCATGTTTGCTTCATAACTCTGTCATTACTTTACTCCCATCCTGCCTTGTAGTTGGGTCATATTGGTAAATGAGTAGGGATTATACATTTGGGTATTAGTTATTCCAATACACAAAAGGCAATATAGGTCATGTGAACTGAATTAGTTTGTAAATACTTGCAGTGTTCTTTATGGCACTAAGAGGCAATAACTAGATCCAGTGAGTGGTACCCGAGAAAACAGTTCCATCCCAGACTGTGGCTAAATTTCTGTAATAGTCCATCTATATCTGAGGATAGTCTGGTCTCTAGAGAGACAAGAATGCTCCATGAATCCAAGGTGTTTGAGCAGAGGCTGAAAGACCACATGTTCTTCTGGCTTTGTAAGAGGGTATAAATCCCATGATCCTTGTAAGTCTCATTCCACACCAAGTTTCTAAGATTCTACATGGATAGATGTACATGGACAAATAGATGTAGATCTACATGGATAGATGTACATTCTAGATCTACATGGATAGATGAATGGACAAACTAATGGGTTGAATCCCCATATAGGGCTCTCAGCTCCATTTCTATGGGCAGACAGGGAGAAAATGCCACCAGTGATAATATAGGTGTATAGAAGAGGCTAAATGGTTCCAAGAAATGACCATGCTGGGAAAACAGTTCAAAAAATTAATCGCAGCCCGTTGCAGGTGGAACTTTCATGAACGCAGAATAACAGGGAAGCATGTTCGCTTGAACAGGTGCCAGCCAAGATTGTAAGCACTTAACATAGGTCATTTAATTCTCAAAATAACCTCCCCATTTGAGGAGAGAGTGATAAGTAATGCTCTCCCCCCAGGAGGGAAAAAGCAGCCCTGAAAGGTCAAAAATATTGCCCAGGGTCAAAGCTGATATGTCAGCTGAACTGGGATTTTTAACCCATGGACATATCCATCCTAATCCCATGCTCTTTATGCCAGGCTGCCTCTAGAAGAAAATGAAGGAATAGCAGGGACAGAATATTCTTTAACCTGTGAACAACTAAATGATCAATCTGTCCTTCTCTGTAAAGGTCTCCATGCAGACACATACAACTGCATCAGGTTAACCCCCCAAAAAAGAACATGTTTGCCTTATCTCCTCTCTTGGGTGGGGGGGGGGGGGATACAAATGTTCTCCTTGGAACAGAAAATGACATGCCTACCTGAAAAAAATCTTAGACCTGCCATGATTTCTCAAGGGACCTTTATAGTAAGTCAGCTGCATTTTCAGTCATTAAATCACAGGTGACAAATTTTCCTTGGGTGCTAACAATCAGCGTGGATATTTCAAATATGTTGAGAGTAAAGTCTATTTAGTGCAAAAATATCAATCTTCTTTATAGTAAGCTTTTCAAGAGCCAAGCATCTTATCTTACTAATACCATTTTCTCCCTAACTCCAACCTCCGTTACCTTTCTCTCCTCATTCTACCGCTTGCAAAGCGAGTCTACAAACACAAGTGTGAGGGCAATCGCCAGCCCTAACTCACCGTGTAAGTGGTACCCATAATCTGTCTCTTTGAGTAGGAAAGGTGAAAAATAGATTTTAGAAACGAGCAAGGTCAGGTTTAACGCCAGGTCTACGTGACTCAACTACGGATGACCGGATGCCACCACAGAGATCCTGCTTCAGCAGGTCTGGGCTAGAGCCCAGCCATCAGCCTGTTCAACAAGCAGCCCAGGTGACTCACATGCTGGTGGTCCTTGGGCCACACCTGCAGACACATCGACAGAGTGAAGCCCTCCGTGGGCCAGATGAAGACAATCACAAGTGGATTGCCCAAAGTAAGCGGCAAACTGGAAGTTAGAATATAGTTAATGCCGGGGCACCTGGATGGCTCAGTTGGTTAAGGGACTGCCTTCGGCTCAGGTCATGATCCTGGAGTCCCTGGATCGAGTCCCACATCAGGCTCTCTGCTCAGCAGGGAGTCTGCTTCTCCCTCTGACCCTCCCCCCTCTCATGTGCTCTCTCTCATTCTCTCTCTCTCAAATAAATAAATAAAATCTTTAAAAAAAAAAAAGAAAGAATATAGTTAATGCCTTTGCAACCACACAACATCACATTTCTTGCTTAGCATTCCAAACTTTTTTTTGGGTCACTGCTCTGTAAGCTGCAGCTGCAAAAACATTCATAACTTACATTTATGTGACACTTCCTATAAAAAGAGCTTTCACAATCACTATCATGTATGATCTTCACAAAAATGTATTATCCATATGTGCCAGATGATGGAATTGAAATTCAGAGAGACTAAGATTCTTGCTTGAAATTTTTATATTATATATATTTGGGGCAAAGTAATAGGATTTAATGAGTCTTGATCTAATAAACCCTCAAATGTTAACCATTATTATTTCTGGGTGATGGACACTGGGGAGGGTATGTGCTATGGTGAGCGCTGTCAATTGTGTAAGACGGTTGAATCACAGACCTGTACCTCTGAAACAAATAATACATCATAAGTTAAAAAAGAAACAAAACCATAAATATCGACTCAGGAAAAGTTGAAATTGGTAGAAAAACTTAAAAATAAAATTAATAGCTAAACTGTAATGACACTTGTTACTAATTAACCCCCTCCAAATCAAGTATTTTTTTATAAAATTTAGCTATAAAGTAAGGCCAAGGAAAAGTCAATGTGGGAGGAAAAATGAAAACTCACAATGGTAGACATTTTGTTACAATCTGATATGTTCAAAAAAATAAAAACCTGATAAATTAAGCCGTTTTACAATCTATACAAAAACATGTGATTCTCTTAAAAATTTCAGATTTTTAAATCTGAAAAAAGTAGCAAACTAGAAATGCTTTAATTGTGCTATATATTAAATTGTTGAAGTAATTAAAATAGACTAGTTATGTATACTTCAGAAAATACCTTCTCAACAAAAATGTTACTCTGATATCAATATGTATACGTAAAAAGACAGTACAAAAATGTCCTTGAGATCTACACAAAACAATGGGTCAAAGTATTCCATAACCTCAATAAGTTACAGAGTAATAAAGCTACCCACAACACTATTATTAAAGCTGTAAGTCTGACTGCTGAGGGGCAACACACGGGACATGTATTATACTGTAATAGTTAGATCACTTACTATGTAATGGATTACAGACAGATCACTATATAAATGACTGTATTTTCTAATTCAGTTTCTAATTTTTTCTGCTCCTGCTTCTAATGTCTTTTAAATTTACATAAGGCATTAGCCTTAAAAGTAACAGAACCCAATTAGATTGAACTACAATGTTAAGAAATCCCATTACAGGGGCACCTGGGTGGCTCAGTCGGTTAAGCGTCTGCCTTTGGCTCAGATCATGATCCTGGAGTTCTGGGATCAAGCCCCACGTCGGGGGGCAGGGGGGGGGTCCCTGCTCAGCGGGGAGTCTGCTTCTCCCTTTGCCCTTCACCCTGCTCATGCTCTCTCTCTCTCAAATAATTAAAAAAAAAAAATTCCATTACAGAACTATAGCAGTCTTGTTATCTTAGACTTACTACTCACATTTCGTTTCCACAGCATTCTCTTGCATTTTAAATAACATGTTATGTATTGGTACTTGTGAATATGCTAGAGTACATGCATGGTATTTTGGAAATAATTTATTTTTATGAAAACGTCTTCACTTGCCCCCCCACCTCCGACCAAGACATTAGAATTTGCCAAATTAAATAAAGCTAGCACTTCTCATCTCTACAACTTCTGTGTATTTGATCATTACATATGTTCATATGTTCTTTGTAGAATGTCCAAATACAGACTCCTGTTTTTGTTCTGAAACTCACTAATTCCAGCTCAATTTATAGCACGGCTTTTCCTTTGGGGCTGGGGCAATATACAAAGGAGCATTCCAGGGTACCACGTGCTCAGCAAGGTTAGCAAAGCAAATCCCTGCAGTGTAACATGGTGAATCACTTGCTGGCTGCCGCAAAAGCTTGTCAACTTTTCACTTCATCAGTTTCCTGGGCAGGTCCTGGAAGGCTGGGCTCCTAAGTGTATCTTCCCTCTCCTAAAAGAAAGGAAAATAACTCGAGCAGATGAATTCATGCCTGGTCGCATGAAGAGAAGCTTTCTGAAGTGCAGAAATACCCATTTAGAATGAACTCATGGAAAACCCTGCTTAAAATGCAGTGTTTTTTTGTCAGCAAAGGTCTGCTTGGACAGGATAAATAGGTGAAGCCATGAATTTCCAGTCTCCCGATGCCAGATTAAATCCCACTTCTTCAAAAAAGACCCTGTGACTGCTCTGTCACCCTATTAGAACTTATTTGCTTTGGATCATCACAATAACTCCTCTATTGGCGGAGGAGACCTGCCAGGGTTTAAGTAAAGCCATGACCACACTCAGTCTAGACACTATCATCTCCACTAAAATACATGAATAAAAAGTAGCTTCTCAGAGGCATAAGGCTGTAATTTAGATCTCAAAGGAAAAAAATATCAAAGGTATAAACACAAGAAAAAAAATCCTTTGTTTCTATGGAAAAACAAACTTCATTAAAATACTTTTTTTTCAAAGAGCTTGACAAAGAATGTGTAAAAGGGGAGAATAATTCCGTTTTGAACTGGATGTACGTGGTATACAGTACGCTCATAAGCCTACACAGCTTCTGAGACACAGAAGATTCTATAAACCAGCTATGTCCCTTTATTACTAGACAACTCAAAATAAAAATCAGAAGTATTAAATAAGCGAAACCCTTCATGTACTTAAATCGACCTCAGGATAATATGGAAACCTGTAAGACAGAGAAAAATCTCCACAGATAGAGTTGATTGCCATCTAAAATGCTTTTGTTCCCACTCACCGCTGTGTATTGGGGTTGCCAGATAAAATGTATCATGCCCCGTTACATCTGACTTCCAGATAAACAATGAGTACTTTTCTTAGCACATCCCATAAACATTATTTTTATTTGCTAAAGCTGGCAATTCCCATGCACATATGTGTGTTTAAGTGTAGGTGTCGCTATTTCCTGGCAATAATCTTTCAGGTCCTGAAACATGTCACTACAGAGCCCTTCTTACTTCCCACAGGATGTTAGTTTGCACATGTAGAAATTCATCCCTTTCCTGTAACCAAACTCATTTACTTTACAAACAATTGCATGTGAAACTGCTTACTATGGCCAATTAAAAAAAAAATGTATTATACCAGTGCACAAACGTAGGCAAAAAAATGATATGCACAATATTGTCTTAAAATTATGCAAGCTTTCCCTCCCGCCCCCAGCAGATTTGCAAGCCTAACAGGAGTTACTGTCATATCTAAGTGACATTAACTGTAACATAAGGAGGTGACTGAATATTTAATTCAACTCAGAGTACCAAGAATATCTTACTGAAATTATTTCTCTGCTGGGGTTCACATGGCAAACGCTAATATATCATCTAAGACGTAACTCCTAATCACCATCATGAAGTCTTTCCTGATGGGAAAGACAATGGGAAGACAGCATTCCCACAGCACCTTGCATATTTTATTTACCATACTATATTGCATTTACTTATCTATCCTGATCTACTAAAACGAGAGCTCCTTGAGAACAGGGCCCGTATTTTCACTGATCTTTGCATCCCTCCTCCTTAACAGAGGGCCTATTAGACATTCAATACATGTCTGTTGGCAAAATAAACTATTATTAACAAGCTCATGCTGGAACCCAGCCTAAAAAAATGTCCTTGACAGGCAGGATGTGGAACTGCCTTATTATAACTACCTTATAATAAACACCCCTTTGAATGAGGCTCATTAATACATTGCACTGAATTTCAAGTTATACAGGTATATTTCTATTGTTACTAGGGAGCCTGCAAAATTCTATACAGAATAAAAGGTATATTTCACTGATTTATTCAACAAATATCTAGAGTTGGCTAACTGCTAGGCCCTGTTCTAGGTGCTGGGAAATAAGATAAAGCCCCGCCATCATGGAATGTCCATAATGATACTCCAAGGAGACTGATGAAGTAGCAGTGAGAGATTAGGAGTTAAATATCTTTTATCCTTTTCTTTCCAGATGAACAGTGATGAGGCCCCAACTAAGATAATCCTAGCTGGATACACTGTAAAGCTGGGCCTGAACAGAGAACAGCAATAAGGTGTCATGACCCCAACCTCTGGCTATTCTTCCATTTATGCCAAACATGGTCCCTCACTGTAGGTCAAAAGCAAACAGAATGGTGCCCTAACCGGTGGCTGGGCTGTCAGCTGTGCCCTAAGCACAGCACATCCATTTGAAGGAACTGAAGACCCTTTTTTTTTTCTTTAAGATTTATTTATTTGAGAGACAGAGAACGCGTGTACGAGCAGGGCGATGGGGAGAGGTGCAGGGGTAGCAGAGGGTCAGAGGCAGAGAGAGAGAGTGTTAAGGTGTTAAGCAGACTCCACACTGAGCACAGAGCCCGACGTGGGGCTCGATCTCACCACTCTGAGATCACAACCTGAGCTGACACCAAGAGTCGGATGCTTAACGGAGTGTGCCACCCAGGCGCCCCCTGATGACCCTTTTTTTTTTTTTTTTTAAGATTTTATTTATTTGACAGAAAGAGACAGAGCGAGAGAGGGAACACCAGCAGGGGGAGTGGGAGAGGGAGAAGCAGGCTTCCCGTGGAGCAGGGAGCCAGATGTGGGGCTCGATCCCAGGACCCTGGGATCATGACCTGAGCCGAAGGCAGATGCTTAACAACTGAGCCACCCACGTGCCCCCTGATGACCCCTTCTAATAAATATTGGCAGAGTGGCCTGTTCCATTTCAAAATTCTTTTTTTTTTTTTCAAAATTCATTTTAATGGTTAACGCCATTTAATCTTCAGAGAGTTACCAGGTCAAAACTGCCATTACTTATGATGCTAACAGGACTTCCAATACATAGAACTGAGGCTCAGGAAGTAAGATGTAGACACCTCTGCAGTACAGATATATCTTTGGAAAAGCAACGGCCAGGCCGAATAAAAAGTACCGCCTGTTATTGGAGCCAAGAGCTGCTGAAACACAGGACTTTTACACCATGTCATAAAAAGGAAGCACCATCTCAACCACCAAATCCACTGTTGTACGTCTGCTGGTCTGCGGGTATGGCAGGAGGAGAGAAAAGGGGAGGGTGCACATGCCGACAAGACCTAATAGTGATGAGGGTATTTGCCACCACTCAGTGTTTTATATTAGCCGGACCCTGGCTACCTTTGCTTCATGCAAGTCAGCTCATCAAGTGCTCCTAATCACTTGAGAAAGGTCCTACTAGGCTTCTTCTATTAATTCTGAAACTGAGGCTCAGAGAGATTAAATCACCCACTCACGGTTACGAAATGAGTAAGAGAAGAGTCAGAACTTGAATTCTCAACTCTGGCCTATCTTATTCCAAACCTAAGCTCTCAGGCCCTCAGCAACAGTGGATTCCCAGGGGTCACCACACACCAGTCTAGGAATCTTTGCATCCTTTAGGACCTTTAATGATAAGGACAAATGTCTGTGCAGCATTCATATGGGGACAGGAGCCGCCAGGAATACAAAGTCTGAATCAGACCTAAAATAAGAAAGAGCTTCATGTTCTGGCTACTCTGTCCACACCTCAAAAGAAACTCTGTGAGGTTAATGTGGTATTTTTATTTTTTGTTTCTGTTTAAAAGTTTCTTCTGAGTAAAAATATTTGAATGGAGCTGGGCAACAAAAGGGTATAAAGAACTGGTATTTGAAAGTTGTTTTCGCTTTTGACCAGGGCCGAGGACTTGGGGTCTGGGCAGCACTGTGGGGCTTCTGTGGGGTGTCTCTCCTGACCACACCCAGGATGCCAAGCCAGCCTCAGGGCTGGCCAGACAATCGGGGCTCTCATGAATATTCTCTTAGGTTCTACCTCAAAGAGTCTTAACAGGGATGCCACAGGGACCTCAGGAGACTTGGGGTGGCTCTGGTTCTTCTGCAGAGCAACAGGATGTGTAGCTGGTCACCGGTGGCCAGGGAATAAGAGCCTCTTGTATCCACTCCTTTCCTCTAGCGACAGGACCGACTGGGAAGCCTTCTCTTCCCATCACAGAGCTCTCTATGGGAGAGTAAAGCAAAACAATTCATTTGAGATTATCCTCTATAAATGTGCCACTCCCTTTAATGGGGAATAGAGATTGAAAGCTAATTATTAAAGAAGGTGATATGGAGGGGTGCCTGCGTGGCTCAGTTGTTAGGCGTCTGCCTTCAGGTCAGGTCATGATCCCAGGGTCCTGGGATCCCTGCTCAGCGGGAAGCCTGCTTCTCCCTCTCCCACTCCCCTTGCTTGCATTCCCTCTCTCGCTGTGTCTCTCTGTCAAATACATAAATAAATAAATTAAAAAGGTGATACGGAGAAAGATCATAATCCCCTGCTATTATTCCATTTCTATTTCTGTGTTTTCTACTAGAGAATTCTACGTGGTTGATCCATGATAGTTATGTCCTTATCGTTTTGTTGACAGAGTAATAAGCAGAACTGTAATCTTGGAAATCAAATTAGCCAACTTCCTCCTCCAGATGAAAGTACAGAGAAGTTAATGCACAGAGAAAGTGACTTGCCCAGAATCACCCAGATGGTTAATGGCAGAGTCGGGATAGATCCCAGAATCATCTACCTTGATGAATATTAACTGAGAAAACACACACACACACACACACACACACACCGTGGGTGGCTGGCTAGCCCCATAAATACATGCTGATGTTCACAAGGAATAAAATGATGGAAACTGTGGATGGGACTGAACAACATGGAGACATATGTAGTGAAGAGAACCTTTCTGAAAGTCAGTCAGTCAGTCAAGATCCAGTCAAACCTGGATCTTGGCTTGGGCCACCAGAGAATTCAGATCTAAATTTCTCAACTAGCTTGGGAGCTTCAGTCTCTCTCTCTCTTTTTTTTTTTTTTTTTTTTTTTGTAAAATTAGGGAGTTGGATGGTGTAATTTGTTTTGTTCTATTTGTAATTTACAAGGACTCTTTCAGCTCTAAAATTCTAAATCTGGATAGAGCCTTGCTTTAAGACAAAACAGAAACAAAAAACAGAAGTTCTTCTTCACCATCTATATAACAGATCAAATCCAGTGTTGAAATCTACATTTAAAAAGCCAAAAGAAAATGTGGAAAGAATATAAACAAACAAACAAAAAGCTGAACCTAGAAGTAGAGTGACCCACACATCCTGCATTGCCCAGACCTGGTTTACACCTGTTTCTCCTGCATTCCAACCAGTTAGTGCCTGTTTTCACTACCCAAAGCATCTCCATTTGGATGACAAATTATATGATAGCCCCTATAAGGAATTGGTGTTATCTTGGAGAAACCCTCACCACTTTTGATCATCTACGGACAGAAGCCTAAATGCCTTGGTATGTTATGAAGACTCTGACTCTCCAGTCAAAGCTCGCCAGCACCCCCACCACACGCTAGTGACACCTGACTACTTCGGTTCCCCAGAGGTGAGGAACACTGCTCCTGCCATTGCTTAGCTTCTCGGCCTGCATCCTACAGAATGGCCAAGTCCTCCACAGGCATCGAGACCTCCGCTCCGTACTGCCTTCTCTGGGAGGCCTCCCCTCCCTCCACCTGGGATCACTCTGCCCATACCTCTACTAGCATGTGGCCCCAACAGCTTCCGTAGCTCTTTATCTCCTCTACTGCACCCTAAGCTCTGTAAAATGGAGTTCACCTGCATCTTTCTATCCCTTAGCACGATCATTAGCACTCAACATGTTTGTTGAATTAAATAGAGAAGTACATAAAGATTTGCTAACAGGATACTGGCTAAATTATCTTTCATTGGAGTGAACACAAAACAATGGGCTTCATTCAACTCAGCTGGTCTCCACCATTATTACCACCAGTAACAGTTTCTTGTATGGTGTGCGGAGATCCAGTGCCCTGTGATGGTGGGTCATGGTCTATGACCACCTGACAGCTCCATTCCACTTCTGCCACTGACAAAATGTATGATCTTGAACAAGTTCCTTGCCCCAACTTAACTCAGTTCCCTCAGTATAAAACAGGGGAAATGCAACACTCCTTGGTGTAAGATTATAAACGGTGCATGAAGAGTGGTGCCAGGTATTGACCCTGGCACAGAGTTCACAGGTAATAAGTAGTAACTTGGCTTCAGTGGTGATCATTTCCAGCCAGAGCAGATCAAACTGGAAAAAACCATGACTCCTCCTTGCTCCCCAAAGAGATAAGCCCCACCTGGATTTATTTTGCTTTATGTCCCTCTCTCCTGGGACTAAGATGCCAAGACCTTCACAACAGTAAATATTATTCTCCTTCCAAATCCTGGTTCTTTGCTTTTCTAATTATCCCCAACACAAGGGTCAACACGAGGAATACAGCAAGAAAGGCAAGGACTTACAACTCAAGATAGACCATGGTCAAATAAGGAAGAACTTCTTGACTGCCACTCTGATCCAACTACGGAACACACGCAAAAGGAATTCTTGGTAAAATGCCAAGTAGGGAGAATTCAAGCCTGGGGAAGGATCACATGACTTCTTGCCGGGACTTTGAACCCTCAAGTGAACTACACCTTGAGCAAAACACTCCCTCAATCAGAAGCAGTCAGTTCCCGGTGCCCCAACACCAAGCACCGGAAAGGGACTAACAAAATGACCGTCGTGAGCATCTTTAGCAGAAGGAAAAGGAGGAAAGGAATGTTCCCTTCGAGATTTCTTCATCACAGGAAACAAGGCACAGGCAGCAAGGCAACTAATGGGATCACAATGTTTCAATTAAGTAGCACAGAGCTGTTGGAACTTTGTAACAAAATACAGCCATGTGCTAATAGTTGTTTTCATTATAGAGGCAGGATTGCACGGAGGTTTAAAAAAAAAAAAAAAAAAGACTCTGGAACCAGAGTGCCTGAAATGTATTCTAGCCTCTGTCCTTAACTAGCGGCGGGACCCTCAGCAAGTTACCTCATCTCTCCAGACCTCAGGTTTCACCTCTGGACAGTAAAGATAACAAATAGATAATGGTACCTATACTCTGTAGGGCTGTTTTGGGGGTTTGTTTTTTGTTTTTTACTAATACTAATACTAATTTCTCAGGTAGAGTAGGGTTAGGCACATGATTAATGGTGCGTATTTGACAAATAAAAATATTAAGATTCAGTACTCAAAAGTAGCTTATATACAACCTCGTTCTGAAAAATTGCTACTGGTATGACCATGATACATCTCAAAGATGTCTTTACTTCATGTTGACTCCTAGGAGTTTGACTTGTTGACCAACACATCTTTTGTTGATCATGGAAACTGAACAGGTCTGAAACCCAGAGTACACAGTAAAATGGACACTGAAGGTTTCTAAAAAAATTAATTAAGCCTTAATCATCCCCACAATAAATGAAAGTAAAATAAACTTATTACTGAGTCACTTCCCAAGCTGTTGTATTTGTCTGGAAGGCACCGAATGTGACAGGAATGTAGCTAGGTCTGGCTTCTGCCCCATGGCTGAATACAGTGGCATTAGCTTAGTGAATTCACCATGGCTCTCTCTGTTCTTCAGTTTCGAAGGCTCAATGACTTGGTTTTGCACCACGCTTATTCATTCAACAGTTACTTAATAAGCATCTACTTTGTGCCAGATACTATGACAAATAATGTGGACAAAATGGACAACGTGTCATTACAATCCCTACCGGCCATCACAGAGCTGGCAATCTGGCAGAAAAGGCAGATATAAAAAACCGAATGTGCACCCACAAGACCTGATGGTCAATAAGTGAATTTACAGTGGAAACAGCTTCGAGTAGACTAGTTTCTATAAGACCAAGCCATGTCCTCCATGCAACCATTATGACTACACAGGATTCAAGCAGAGGAATACATTGTATGAATGGTATCAGGCATCACCTTGACAAACATCTGACTGTTGAGGATTGTGAATTCCCTATTTTAAGCTTTCCAACGACCCATTCCCTCACGCCACCCATTCTCCCATTCTTGTTGCTTTTCTCAAAAATGCTGCAGTCCATTTAATTTCTCCTTCCCATATTACAATCACATACACATCTTGCTTCACCAAATTTCTTCACCTATCACCCTGATTGGAGTTTTCCATATTCTAAAATTTCTTCCATCACACCCCTACAGAAATCATGTTATTCATTCCAGAGATAGTTACCCATATTCAGTCTTTATAGAGGCTACTAGTTTAAACCTCAGAGAGCAACATTATTTCTCTTATTTTCATGTTTGGGGTTGGCACGGTGGCATGGGAGGGGCACTTAGGGGCAGATCTACACCAAAACTGTTGCCCCATAAACCCTCAAAATAATTCTCATTTAACCTATAAAACAATCCAATGAGGCACAAAAGTTAATTTTATATGAATCATTAAAGCTTACTACATACCAGAAGGTGCTAGGCATTATAAAAAGGGCAAAATTAAAACAACTTAGGTTCATAGTTCAAGTTCAGCAGTCATTGTTTACTGGTATTTCTGTGAACTATAAGCAGTACTTGAGATAGTAATAGAAAAAGTACACCCATATGAAAAGTTTCAACCAACATTCAGAACATCAGTAAATAAAAAACTATTTGAGTCAATGCAGAAGTAAAATATCTCATGTTACTTAATTTCATACAAAAATAACAATCATGGTAAACTCAGACAGGGCTTCTGTTGTGTCAGCAATTTCAAGGTTTTGTTTTTATTCTTAGAGGTCTACCAGAGGGTCACAAGCAGGATACTCAGGTATGATCTCCTGGATGCATTCACCCTAACCAAAAATGGATGGGACTAATGCATCAACCAGAATGTTAGCTTAGTTAGCCATAATTAGGACTCTCTTTCCAGTGGCTCAAATTAATACAAGTCCCAGACTTCCCAAGGAGCCACACAATCCAGGTTACGTTCATTCAACACTGCTCTACAAATTGACGCAACGAGCCTTATAGGAACTTCCCAGTGAATTTCCATGGGAAAAGATGAAATGCTAAAGATTTTTTAAAATATTTTTAAATTGTGGTCAAACATTAATCTGAATGTAGCCCGTGGAGAAAATGCAATTCAATAGGGTAATTATTTAAACAAATTCTCACTGGGTGAACTTTTACTTTTTTTTATTTTTAAAAAAAGATTTATTATTTGAGAGAAAGAGAGTGAGAACGGGGGGTAGGGAGGAAGAGGGAGAGAGAGTCCCAAGCAGACAACACACTGAGCATGCAGCCCAACACAGGGCTCAATCTCACCATCCCAAAATGACAACCCAAACTGAAACCAACAGTCAGACGCTTAACCTACTGTTCCACCCAGGCGTCCCTCACTGGGTGAACTTTTAAAACAGCTATTCTAAGCTCAAAAAGAAATGTTCTGTGCTTGTCCTCTTCTTGGGTACATGGCCAGGAGTCAGCATAGGGTCTGGAATGTATTAGGTGCTCAGAACTATTTTCTGAGTACATAAATGAATAAATATATTCCCCTGATCCTTACCATGAGTTTACATCTAAGAATAACAAGAGCAAAAGGCAGAAGTTATCTGAGTGTGTAGAAAATAAAATCTTGCTCTTCATCTTGAAATATGAATTTCCACCACGAAAAACAGAAAATTGATGAAAACATAAGTTTCCATAAAGATGGCCATAGAATGTTATTTTGTGCAGCAAATCTATACAAAACTTCAGCATGTTTATAGTTACAACTACAAATGTGAAAGATAACTTATTTAGAGTCTCATAAAAACAACTATATAGGGGCACCTGGGTGGCTCAGTCGTTAAGCGTCTGCCTTCAGCTCAGGTCATGGTCCCAGGGTCCTGGCATCGAGCCCCGCATCGGGCTCCCTGCTCTGCGGGAAGCCTGCTTCTCCCTCTCTCGCTCCCCCTGCTTGTGTTCCATCTCTTGCTGTGTCTCTCTCTCTCAAGTAAATAAATAAAATCTTTAAAAAAAAAACAACTATATATGAAAGCATATTCATATTATATAAAAGCTCTTACTATCTGAAAATCTGTAATAAAGAGACCACAAGGCAAAGGTAACACAATTTGGGCTGTAAGGAAACCCTTTGAAAGCCAGTATTTTCAATACTTGATAGCTAAACTCATTAATGACCTCTTTCACATCATATTATTTACAGCACATCACTGAGACATTTCCCCAAAACCAATTCTGCAATTGTAGAAAGACTTGTATGCTGACTTCATCCCAGACATTTGTTGTAAAGTGCCTCATCCCCCTTGTAATTCCTGTATGTTCATTTGTCTACCACTATCATAAATTAATATGGTTTTATATTAAGCCACTGATAATCCATGAAGTAAGTTAACAGTCAAGACAAAACTTACCAAGCACAATGACCACAGTCTTCAGAAGACTCATCATGGTATCCCGATTCCTCCGGGGTCCAGAACTATGCCGAGACATTCTCATAGTCCTCTGGCGAACATAGCCAAAGATATGAGCATAGAGAACCACCATGACGACAAAGGTCACCAAGTTGAAAATAGCCCAGAACACTAAGTAAGAGTCACTGTAGAGGGGTGCCATGTTGGAACAATTTTCGATATCGCAGATACAGTTCCAGCCCACACTGGGGATAGCACCCATGACAATGGCCATAGTCCAGATGACCACAATCACCACCACCACCCGCCGGTTGCTCATCCGTGTGTGGAGCTGCATGCGGAAAACCGTAATGTGCCTCTCAATCGCAATAGCCAGTAAGTTGGCCACAGACGCCGTCAGGCTGGTATCAATGAGGCCCTGGCGGAGGAGCCACGTGCTAACAGTCAATCTCCGAGTGTTGGGTCCTGTGTTGAACATTAGGTAGAAATAAGCCAACCCAGCAAAGAAGTCTGCAGCAGCCAGATTAGCCATTAAGTAATAAATAGGAAAATGGAAGCGGCGGTTGACATAGATTGCTACCATGACCAGTAGGTTGGCCAACATGATGAAGATACAGACAGTGATTCCAAGTCCCATCACCAGCTTGCTGACTGTGTTCCATTCTGTGGCAAGATACTTTCCACTCCGGTTATAAAAGAAGGCAATGGACTCATTGTAGAAGCACTGTGGTTCATTCATGGCTGTGAACTAAAAGAGAAAGGAAGAAAGATGAAAAAGAAAGAAGAAACCACAGATCCAAATTTAAAGACTTATAGTATGGTAAATGTGGCCAAAACACACACACACACACACACACTAACACAGAAGCAAAGAATCTGAAAATCTGATCCTGCATAACATTCTATTATGTTGAAACTCCAAGGCTTTTCAGTGTCTTACTGTCCTCAAGATTAAAGACAGTTGTAGTTAAATAAATGACAAGGTCTGTGCTTGGTGGTTGCAGGTCAATGAAGTCTACTAGAAAAGCCACATGGCCCAGAAATCTTGCCTAAAATACATGAGACAGATGAAAAATTGTGCAGAGAATTGCAATTGGAATATTTACCGTCGTGAAACCTATTTTGACCTGTTATTTAGGGAATCTGTAAACATAGTTGGTTTATAGATAGGGTATTATTGCTCCATTATTCTGCATTTCTGTTCTCACATAGTATGTTCGATCTGTGACAAACACTTGGTAATGCCGTCCCCACAAGGACCACCAGTACCAACATTTCAAAGAGGTCACTATGCATCAAAGCTGCTTTGCCCAAAGCCAGTATTTGCTGTTCGACATTCCTGTGGTCAGCACTGTCTACCCCCATGACTCCTTATCCCCAGAATAGCATTTGTCGACCAATCTATGACATTAGAGAACTTTTTTCCTCTTTGGAGGACATAAGAAATAGGTTACCTAATGTAACCTCCAAAGAGTAGTTGACACTTTGATGCTGCTCAACAAAAAGTGAAGTGCACTTCAAGTTTTTCCAAAATGTGAAGTGATCATGTTTTATGTGTTTTCTTATTTTTCAGCATCAATTAGAATACACTCATTTATTAATTATTCTCACTTGAATCCAAAAGGGACTGAGCAAGTTTAAAACAGAATATAGGTAGTCAATAAAACTATTAAAATAAAATTAGAAAATAAACAGTAACAGAAAAAAATCATTTTCCTGAAGCCTTGAGTTTGTCTGAGACTCCTAGAATCAGAAATTATTTAAAGACAGCTCACATCCTAACTTTTTATCTTGTATGTTTAACCAATGACTTAACAAATATGAGTTTTAACCACTATTTTTGATCCAATGTTCTACTGAATATCCATAGGTTGTGCATAAATGTTTACCAAACACTGAACATTCCTAAAGAGTGTGAAATGCTTATTAAATGGTTAGTCTTCTGACTTGTCCAGACATTTAGTCTCTCTTCATTTAGAGTTTAAGAGCTTTTAGATCATGTTTCTATCATTACACTTACCATGTATATCATTAAATATCAGCTGTTTCTTAAGGAGATCATGGCCCAAGAAAAGAGTGAAGACCTTGTCTTACACATTTTGGTAATCTCATATACTTTCCAAAAAGTCTCATTCATTGGAGGTCTGAGAACCTGATTACATGTCATGTCCCATGACAAATCTTTCCAGTCCTCTGGCTATTTCATCTAATTTTCTTGCCTCTCAGTTTCTTGACCTCATCCCTAATGACTTCCTATTCCATTACAACTCAGCTGCCCACTCCCATGGTCACACCCTGAACTTTGTAACCACTCAGAACTGTCTCCCTTTGGAAATAAATGATACATTTTAATTACTCACCACACTTCCCATTCTTCCAATTTTCTCATTTGATCCCCAATACATCAGTTCTTTGAAGTCATCTATTTCCTTAAGATTCCTACCTTTCCCCACTGGATTACTCTGTCTTCCCCCTTTTCCTTATACAGCTTAGATTTCATAGTCATTGACTATTGATAACACAGGAACACAGTCTCTCCTTGAAGATTCTGAGGTCAGATCCTTCAGAATTCAATTTTTTTTCGTGGTTTTAAGAACACTTACACAGTAGATAATCCTTAGATGATGTAAATCCCCATCAAAAGTTGGAGCCTCGTTCCATAATCATACACATTATTTTCTATGGCAAAATATATTTATACATGAAATTTGTTAAATAAAAGTTATAAATAGCTTCACATAAATTCATTCTGAGCAGGTTTTGCCACAAAGTGAATTATGAAAAAATCTTCAGTTGTCAGACCTTGAATTTTGTAACTTCAGATAAGGAAGAAGAGACCTTTCTCCTTCAGTCTACTTGCCCCACTGTACTTCCATGACAGTCTCTTGGAATAACACCAGTCTTGGCTGAATGCAATTGGTTGCCACTTCCACACCTACACCAAGGCTTCTGAGAAATGTTTGAGAAAATCGACATTTCTGGCAGATTGATTCTGATTTAAATTCATGACGTCTAACCTCAACAGAGACTTCAGGAGCACAAGGGGTCTGATTTTCCCCTGTCATTCCCTATCTTCTCCAAAGTGGCTAATTTAAGCTTACCTACTGTTCTCTTTTGACAAAAGACAAAATCAGCTATTCAAGAATCCATCCTTTCTTCCTCTTCTGTTACAATGGAAAGGGTGTAGCTTTTGCCATCCAAGTGTTGTGAACTCCTACTATTTCAAGAACCTTGTTCTAGAAATTGTTTCCTTTCTCCTTCTTGTATCTTCAACTCCCCCTCACTCCTCCTTCTCTCCCTCTCCCCTTTCCTGAATCTTTCCTATCTATGTTCAGGGAAGTTTAGTTTCCACCATCTTTTAAAAGAAAAAAGAAAGTCCCTCATGATCTCATTTCACCTTTCAGCTTTGATAATTTTTCTCCTTCATAGCCAATTGCTTTCTCTCTCACTAATATTTCCATTAACTATAGTAGGGCGCTTCTGACCCAATCCCTCCATCAGATCCACTCCCTTAAATTCTTTAGTTCCATATAACTTCCCAAAGTAACACCAATCTTGTCTTCAGAGCATTAGATATGTGACTGAAAAGCCCTTTTCAGAAAATTCTCTTTCATTGGCTTTCATGACATCATACTCTCCTGGCTTTTGATTCTTCTCTATGGCTGGTCCTTCTCAGTCATTTCTGATGGGTCCCCATGCTCTACACAATATTGATATTTCTACACTAGTTATATACTCAGCCAACACATTTTCACTGAGTTTTCTAATATGTCCTCCCAAGATCTCAATTATTTTATATACCCTCAATACTCCCGTATCTATGTATTTAACCCATACTTTTTTCCTAAACTCTAGGCAAATATCAAATTGCCTACTGGTATCTTGGATTAACTACCCCATAGGATACTCAGTACTCAGTCTCTGCTTAAAACCAAATTCAAACTCATAATCTTCCTCATGATCCCCAACTTGCTCTTTCCATCTTCTTCTATTCCAGAGGCTAGAGAACTACTCTCTCTCCAGTGGCCTGAGGGCTAAACCTGGGAATGCCTTCTTCTCCCTCAGCCTCATTACTTAATAACCAAATCCCATATATTCTCCTTGCTAAGCATCTACTCAAACTCTCTATTCCATCCTCACGGAATTATCACTACAGTGGTAGTAATACTATTACTTTCTTACTACAGTGGTTTCCTAAGCATTATTACTACATTATTATTATTACTACTATTATTATCATTACCACCACCAGCATTATTGCTATAGTGGTTTCCTAAGTGTTCTTTCTACCCAGTGCCAATCTCCTCTCTAGTGATCTTTCTAAAAGACACAGTTGACCAAGCTATTCTCCTACTGAAAATGCTTCAATGGCTTACAAGTGCACTTATGATAAAAACCTAAACTCTTCAACCACCTTATCAGTTCTCACCTGCCCTCTAGCCTCAATTCAAACTATTAATGACTTCCAACTCTCTTCTTCCGCTCTATGTAACGTGTTGTGCTCTCCCTCATCTCTGCTTCTCAGAGCAGTGGTTTTCTCTACCAAAATCACTTGGAGGGTTTCTAAAACACAGATTACTGGCCACATCCTGAAAATTTCTGATTCAGTAGATGTAAAGTGAGTCTCCAGGTGATAGTGATGCTGCTGGTCCAGAGACCACACTTTGACTCCCACTGGCTTAGAACTATCGTCCCCCAATTTTCACCGGGCTCCCTTGCTCTCATTCTTCATGCAGTTGAAAGGTTATTCTTTCTAGTCAGTTTCCCCAGACATCCCCAAGTCTAGGCAAGGCTCTTCTACTACAATTCCCTGCATTTATCTCACAACAACACTTACTGTATAATAATTGCTCAATTAACACTTCCTCATACTAGGCCATAAACCCTATGAGAGCAGAAATTCTAACCTTCTTGTTCACTGTTGTGCAGCATCCAACTGTTAGATTAGATGCTAACTATACATTGGTTGCATTAATAAATTCCAGAAATGTTTAGAATAATGCAATGTGAGGAAGACTTGATTGGCTGTTGGCTGGCTTTGAGGAGGGAAAGGGGCCAGGAACCAAGGAATGTGGACAGTCTCTAGAAATTGGAAAAGACAAGAAAAATTCACTGTAGGACCTTTGGAAAGGAACACAGCTCTGCTAACATTGGTTTCCTTTCTACAAAGGACATACGATACACAAAAAAATAAATTATAACTATAAATGCAAAACTCCTTTAGCCTCTATAACCATTTACTTTCTCTGGATAAATACATTTTTAAATCAAATACCAAGCACACAGTATTTCACAGCATTCCAACTTCTGAACACCAACTGCTAACAGTCAAGAGATGGTCTGTGCAGCTTCGCTCTTCCCAACGTAGGAAAACTAAACAGTTAAGGAGGAAAACATAAGACGGTGCAAATGGTCTTTTGAAACCACAATATACTAAGAAGAAGAAAACTGACAGGTGTTCTCCGCTGATATCCCATATATCGCATCAGCAAATGGCAGGTATCCAAGTCCTCCGCCATCTTTAATCGCTCAAAAATTTGAATAGTAAACCCCATACCGCATCTAATGACATACCTTACATGACGGTTTGAGCCCCAGTTTTATCATCTGTGAAATAAGAAAATCAAGCTAAATTATTATTATCTATATCAAGAGAATTCTGGGTAAGAACTTTATATTTCATAAAAATTGCCAGCTAAATACTAAGACAGCATAAAATATGCCTGGAATGAAAACAGTAAGGGTAGA